CCCCAAAACCCCAAAACCCCAAAACCCCAAAACCCCGACTAACTGAAATTGAGTCGATTAGGTTAATCGTAGGAATCTTATAATTATATCAATTTAAAAAGTATGAGTTTGAAAGAGATGGAAATCATTAATGATGATGAGCTTGAATCTCAAAATTTAAGCCATCCAAAGAAATACGACAGAAAGCCCACTGGGGATGATCCTGTTTCAGACTGGCTTCTTAAAATGTACTATATGATGAATCAGAGCGGCATGATTGGAGTCAAAGTTGGACTCTGTTTAATTCCTCTAGTTGTAATCTTCCTATTCACTTTATTCGTGTCTAATTCGACATCGAATATAATCGCGTTTTCCGCCCTTGTGATATCATTTTCATTCATGGTATTAAGTATTTGGATCCTTTGCGAAATTTTGGACAAAGACCGTGGTTCAAGAGAAATGTAAGATATTAGTGATCCTATCAAAGAAGGTTCGGAGGGTTTTTTCATTACATAATATGGCACAATTTTTAAATTAGCAGCATTATCTTCTGTACTACTATTCTTTGTGTACTTATCTCGATCTCCTGCTAGCGGTTAATCTTAGCTCCATGTTTATTTAGGACCTACATCAATGGCTTTAATCACTAGTTTTAGTTTTCTATTGGGTGCAAACTGCAGTGCCATCTCAGGATATGCTGGAATCTGGGTTAGCGTTAGAGCTAACGTAAGAGTTGCCGCAGCTGCCAGAAAATGCTATAATGACGCTCTCTAAATTTGCTTCAGAGGAGGAGCTTTCTCAGCCATAATAAATGTCGCACTAGCAATTTTTGGAATATCCTTTATGTTCCTATTGATGACTCTTATATTCTATATCAACTCACCAGATGGAAGAGATCCACCCATTCAAGAGATTCCAGTCGTTTTAGTTGGTTTCGGGTTCGGAGCCTCTTTTGTTGCTATGTTCGCATAATTAGGAGGTGGTATTTTTACTAAAGCTGCTGATGTTGGAGCAGATCTTATTGGTAAAGTAGAGTAAGGTATTCCAGAAGATGATCCCAGAAACCCAGCTGTGGTTGCAGATCTTGTTGGAGATAACGTTGGAGACTGTGCAGGTCAATGCGCAGACTTATTTGAATCCATTTCAGCTGAAGTTTTATCAGCTATGATCCTCGGAGGAGCTATGGCAGAAAATGCAAATTTAGATATTGAGACCAAGTCAGGATTTATTCTCTTCCCTCTAATAGTTCATTGTCTTGATTTAACGGTTAGTACAATTGGAGTCTATTTTGTAAAGACTAAACCAGGACTCCCATAAAACAGACACGATTATGGTGAACTCGAAGATCCATTGAACGTTCTGAAGAGAGGTTATTATGTTTCCCTACTTCTTGCAGTTATTGGACTCTTCTTTATTTGCAAGAATTTCCTATTTATCACTGCTTTGCCAAACGCCTATTTTAACTTTTTCTTGTGCTCTTGTGTTGGAGTTATCGTCTCTTTCCTATTCATTAAAATCACCCAGTATTATACTGACTATACCTACGAGCCAGTCAGAAGCATCGCTAAATCTAGCAAGATGGGACATGCTACAAACATTATCACAGGTCTATCTGTTGGACTTGAGAGTACTGGTCTTCCAGTAATTACTATATCTGTAGCAATTATTACAGCTTTTTATCTTGGAGAAGCAACTGGAATCAAGGATAGCAAAGGAAATAATATTGGAGGATTATATGCTACAGCTATTGCTACAATGGGCATGTTTTCATCAGGAGTTTATGTTCTCTCAATGAGTGGTTTCGGACCAATAGCAGATAATGCAGGTGGTATAGTAGAAATGAGTCATTAAGATAGAAATGTAAGAGAAATTACAGATAGACTAGATGCTGTGGGAAATGTCACAAAGGCAAATACCAAAGGATATTCTGTTGGTAGCGCATCACTAGCATGCTTCCTGATGTTCTCTGCCTATCTTGATGAAGTTGAAATGATGACAGGAATGGAATTCAGACATATTGATATTGCAGTTCCAGAAATATTTGTTGGTGGTCTTCTTGGTTCTATGACTGTTTTTGTTTTCAGTGCTTGGGCTATTGCTGCTGTAGGAATAGCAGCAGAGGATGTTATTGAGGAAGTAAGAAGGTAATTCAGAGAGCACCCTGGTATTCTAACATATCAAGAAAAGCCAAACTATAAATAATGTGTTGCAATTGTAAACTAAGCTGGACTGAAGTAAATGATCAAGCCTGGTCTTCTTTCAGTCCTTAGTCCAATTACTGTTGGAGTTATTTTCAGAATTATTGGATCATACACAAATAGACCCTTATTAGGAGCATAAGTCTTGGCAGGATTCTTAATGTTCTCGACAAGTACTGGAATATTGATGGCTCTCTTTTTCAATAATGGAGGTGGTGCCTGGGACAATGCAAAAAAATACGTTGAAACTGGTGTATATGGTGGTAAAGGTAGTGATGCACATAAAGCAGCAGTTACTGGTGATACTGTAGGAGATCCATGCAAGGATACAGCAGGACCATCGATACATATCCTAATTAAACTATTATCGACTATTACTTTAGTCTTAGTACCACTCTTTACTGGTTAGGGTATTGCTACTGCATGATAATTGCATAAATAAATTTGTATTCAAATTCACTCTTTTTGCTAAATTACAACTAAGACTCAACGATAATATTAATAAATAAAAATCTTAATCAAAAATCGTCATGATCATCACCCATCGCCTTACTAATTTCAATTTTCTTAGTTAAAAACATTTTCAATTCCTTTGCATTCCTTGGATTGATTATTTTCTTCAATTCTTCTTCATCCATCTGACAAAGCTCAACCATATTTTTTACTTTTTAAGTTAGCATTCCAATATTATTTGAATCAATTCCAGGCAGCTTTTTTAAAAATTCTGTTGGCATAAATCTGTTAAATTCATCATCTTCATTATTATCATCTAAAAGATCATTATCACTGTTTAAATCTCCAACTCTTCCTATCTTTGAAATTTTTTAAAGATCAGGATCTTTCTATAGTCCTGTTTGTGACTTCTTTAGTTCCTTAAATATATCTGCTGTATGCTAGGGTCCCTTACTCCACAATATTTGAAGATTTGGAAAATGAAGCGTTAACAAAGATATCTTTGAAATGATGTTTGCAGGATTAACTTCACTCCCAGCAGTGGAATCCATTTACTAGGCATCTGTCAATTTAAAAGGAATAGAGTCATCGAACTCTATAAGTAAAATCGGCCTTTTGTAAAATCTTGTCATATTTGTGATTTACTTCAAGAGTCTACCACTTTTAAATGATTCAAATAAATCGCCAGTATTTACAGATTTTCTTTCAATACAAATCTCATCAGATAAAATATAATCTCCAACTGTTAAAACTAATGGAATCAACCAAAAGCCTTTTTCATGCAAATAAATCGGCGTGGTGCAGGAAAATTCCCTGCTATCAACAGCTATTATATCTTTATCAATATCACTTTAAGTAGCGTCACTTAAATTTTTATATCCCCCTTTTCTTGAATTATCTAATCTATCTATTCTCTCAAGTTGCTTCGCTTCTTACTCAAGCTTAAAATCTTTTAGCTCAATGTATAATTTCTAAATACATAAATATTATTTTATACTTACAGATTTAATCTCTATGAGCTTTTAAAATCCTTTCTTTTCTACTTCAACATTATTCATATACTGATAAAGTTCAGTGCTTTCCTCAAACATCATAAGATTAACTTCCAGTTTATCTAACTTAATATCCCCATCTTGAATTGTAAATTTAATTCTCTCTGCATTATAAATTTCCAGACTTCTCATAAAATCTAAATAAGGCTCATATAGAATAACTTTGGAAGGCTTTAATCTTCTTAATGCCATTTCAAATTCAGAGTTTCCTGGAAATACCTCAACATAAATATTGTAGCCATTAATGATATTGAAAATTTTATATTGAGATTCTTCGATTTCTTAAATAACATCCTGAGTAACACTAGCATTTTTGTAATCAATGTTTTAAGCTATATTATAATCCTTGATATCTCCACCACTAATTTCATTTCTATACCTTTTCTTGCTATCTCTATTGTAGTTATTATTACTTTCAGTATATTTTCTAAACTTCTGAAATTACCACTCATATTTTTATTCAAGGTGGAGACTTAGTTTATTGACGAAAAATGTTTCAATTAGGGCTGGATTGCACTTTCTTTGTACTGACATCAATCCATCTCTTTTATAGGATTCCTTATGAGATGACAATAGATACCTTAGCTTTTCCTCATAATATCCGTTTCCATTGTCCGACTTAACAAAGTATTGAATCAAATACTTTTAAATATCCATCTAAGTCTTAAGTGATTTCACAGCAATAACTATGTTTTTATTATTAGCCTGCCTCATATTTTCTTTTTCTTTTAATTATTCATCAGCCTCTTTTCCAAAAGCTCCATCATCCTCAAGTTTTTTCTTCTTGGAATTCTTCTTACTATTAAGATGAAGTCTTTTAATAGAATAGAGAGAATATGGAAGATACTCAGGGGACTTTTTAAATAAACTCTCCGCATCCTCTAAGATTTTGACTAAACTCTGCATCTTTGGTGATTACTCAAACTCTATCTTCAAATCATAATCTCTTTCATACTGTCTAATATCTTCAATATTTTTATATGCTTTTTCTTAGAATTTATTCCACCATATACCGAATCTATCTATTAATCGCCCGTAGTCTGACTCGAAATTAGTTTTTTTCTTTTTATTCTGAGGTCTTCTCTAATTCTTTGACTCATTTTCTGCATCATTATCTTCTTATTCCTCCTAGTCACTATCAGTTCTCAATTTAAGGTATACCTAGTAAATTCGTTCTTTTGCAAGCTTTAATAATCTATCTATACTATTAGAGGTTTCCTCATCACAATATTTGAAAATTGAAAAACTCTCATTTACATCATTATTTCTTAGGTCATTTAGGTAAATGTAAAACGATATGCAATCTTAATTCAATAGTAGCCACATCATCCTTTAAATTTCTACTATATTTCTTAGAAGTGATTTGGCTTTTTACCCCAAATAGACATAGTTCTAGCCTATCATACCCCTAAAATAACCCATAAAAGATCTCAACAGAGCTTTATTTGTATCAAGAATATCTGTTGGATCGCCATTTATATTATCTAATTTTTTTATTTACCCTTTCAACTCGTCTAAACAAGCTTGAAGTAATTCAATTAAGATTGAATGCATTTCTTCCATCTTCTTTGTAAATTTCAAGTTATTCTCAATAACTTGAATCTATTGGGCATTATCCAGAGAGTCTTTAATGCTTTTTCTAATTCTTGGGTAAAGCAGTAAATTACTAACTTGCAAATTTTTCATTAAATTTTCTAGCCCATGAATACCACCACCTTTTGCTACTGAATTAGGTTTATCAGATATGCATTTTATAAAAGCTCCATCAGGATTATCTTTCCTCAGAATTTTTGTTAAAAAACTCTCACAGCTGTTTTCTTGAACTTTATGAGCATCATTGATGATGAATCCGCTAATAATTGACGGACTGAGTCTCTTAGTCAACAAATCTAGGACAATAGCTTTATAGCTAACAGAAAATACTCCACCTTTTAGATACATGTCTATCCTTTTGTTAGTTAACGAGTCACTAGCAGCTATTCGAGTAATCTAAATAGGTAGAGTTTTGTCTACAGTTGTCTATTATAAATAGTATTCTATAGCCTAGTATTCTTAGTCAGAAAAATTAACTAGAAAAATCAGAAATGGAGATGACTGCATAGATGTTCCCTCATTGAAAGATTATCTATATTGATACAAAAAATTTGCAACTGTCTTTGTAACACTGAATCCTCTGGCTAGTACTAAAAGACATCCTTAATTAGTATTGAGATCTTGAATTATTTATTTTTCATATTCCAAAAGTTGCAGGCCTTGAACTTTACTTTGATCGGTGTCAATTTTGCTTTCCATTTAAACAAAAGATTAAATTTGAATCAAAATTAATTTTAAAACTTAACAAATAGCTATATTTCATTATTGAGGGGTTTTGGGGTTTTGGGG